ACACACACACACACACACACACACACACACACACAGAGTCCAGGCGACATCTGATGATTTCCGTTCAGCACTCCTATACAGAATAGAATTCAGAGATCCAAGTGAGGAAATAGTCTGTTGCACAAAACAAGTGTGAACGTCTTGGATAAAAAGTGATCACCATGAGGTTCATAGTGGTGCCACATTCAGACCCCTGGCCACCAAACCAGTTGTAGCATGTGGGGACCCTCCAGTGTGTGTCTGAGGCTGTAGGATCTAAGCACCATGTTACTGACAGGCATAAAGTAGGTTTTTCTGTTAACTGGATTATGATTTTATGTATGTTTCTGTTTTATTTTTATCTGTTAATTTGACAAGAATAATCTTTATTTAGTGTAGGCCCAGCCTAATGTTAACCTCAGCAGTGGACATTCTGGTTGCCAACGCAGTAGAACTAGTGCTGTTGGTAGAGTAAGGAGGATTGATGTGGATGTGAAAGAAAAGGTTGTTACATGGAAAATGCACAGTTGGTGTGATTAAGCATGTTCATGTGACATCATGGTTCACAGAAAGTCGTGGGTGTTGGTTGATGGTGCAGAGAGCATGGGCTCGCTCTTTAGAAGATGGAAATAATTTGAAATTTAGTCTTCGTTAACGAGATTAATACTGTAGTACTTGGAAGCCATGTTGGAGACGTACATGACCACATGCCTACTCAGTTCTGTAAAAGTACTCAAGGCTGTTAAGTCGTAGATGCATCAAATATTAATGGACCTTTCTGGCTGTACCTGGTGTTTCTCGGCTAACTAACCTGGCCTGAGTTCTCTGTTTGAGGACCTAGAACGGAGTGCTGCAATTTCATGTCTTTCTCAGGTGGAGAAAGAGCGAGACAAAGAAGTGAGTGATGACGAGGCTGAGGAGAAGGAAGATAAAGAGGAGGAAAAAGAGAAGGAAGAGAAGGAGGCCGACGACAAGCCCGAGATCGAGGACGTGGGTTCAGATGAGGAGGAGGAGGAGAAGAAGGACGACGGGGACAAGAAGAAGAAGAAGAAGATCAAGGAGAAGTACATCGACCAGGAGGTGCTCAACAAAACCAAGCCGATCTGGACCAGGAATCCCGACGACATCACCAACGAAGAGTATGGCGAGTTCTACAAGAGCTTGACCAACGACTGGGAAGACCACCTGGCTGTCAAGGTGAGTGAAGGCGGGGGCTTCCAAGCTGGCCTGGTGCTCCGTGTTTGCACCTCCGTGTTGTTCGCTGGCTTTTACGCTGAGACTTGTTTCCTTTCCACTCCAGCATTTCTCCGTTGAAGGGCAGTTAGAGTTCCGCGCCCTTCTCTTTGTCCCGCGACGGGCTCCCTTTGACCTGTTTGAAAACAGGAAGAAGAAGAACAACATTAAGCTGTACGTCCGCAGGGTTTTCATCATGGATAACTGTGAGGAGCTGATCCCAGAGTACCTCAGTAAGTGCCGGCCGCCAGCCCCACGCCACGGCTGCTTGCCCAGGGCTCCTGTGCGTGTCCTTCAGGCCCTGCAGTCACCGAATGCTTGATTTTCAGATTTCATCAGAGGCGTGGTGGATTCTGAGGATCTTCCGCTGAATATTTCCCGTGAGATGTTGCAGCAGAGCAAAATTTTGAAAGTTATCAGGAAGAATTTGGTAAAGAAGTGCCTGGAGCTCTTCACTGAACTGGCAGAGGACAAGGAGAACTACAAAAAGTTTTATGAGCAGTTCTCCAAGAACATTAAGGTGTGTAAATGTATCTGACGGCTTTGTAGATGTTCGGAAACTATTGGTTTTTGTTGTTGGGTTTTGTGTTGTTTTTTTTTTTTAGTGTGTGTGGTGTGTGTGTGTGCGCGCGTGCACGTATGTACGTACGTACCATCAAATTGGATCTGACTGGTACAGGAGGAGATTGCCCCTCCTCCAGCAGGAGCATCTGGTGGATTCGAACTGCGTATCTCTGGGATTGCAGTGCAGCTTCTTGCCACTAGGCCACCAGAGCTCCCCAGGAAACTACTGTTTTAACTTTGGGATTTTTTTTAATTACTAGAAACAAAAGTTAATTTTTTTTTTTTTTTTTCAGCTTGGAATACATGAAGATTCCCAAAACCGGAAGAAGCTTTCAGAGCTGTTGAGATACTACACGTCTGCCTCTGGTGATGAGATGGTGGCCCTCAAGGACTACTGCACCCGGATGAAGGAGAACCAGAAGCACATCTACTACATCACTGGTAAGGGACGGGAGCTGTGCCGATGGGCACGCCGAGAATCTGCGCAGTTGGTGTTGATTTGTACAAGATGCTCAATTCCTATGTGGTTTAGAACAGACAGGGCATTACACGTGGAGAAGGAGAGGGTCAGGAAAAGCAAAGATCCTCACCGAGATGGGTTGGCACAGAGGCCGCACCGGTGGGCCAGAGCCCAGCAGGGACCGTGTGGATGGCATCAGACACCCAGCATTGTTCTGCTTGTGGGGTTACAAGGATTCAGAACCAGCTCCGAGAATTAAACTGAGTACCATTGGGCTTTTCCAGGTGAAACCAAGGACCAGGTGGCCAACTCTGCTTTCGTGGAGCGCCTGCGGAAGCACGGCCTGGAGGTGATCTACATGATTGAGCCCATCGACGAGTACTGTGTGCAGCAGCTCAAGGAATTTGAGGGGAAGACTTTAGTATCAGTCACCAAAGAGGGCTTGGAGCTTCCTGAAGATGAGGAAGAGAAGAAGAAGCAGGAGGAGAAGAAAACCAAGTTTGAAAACCTCTGCAAAATTATGAAAGACATCTTGGAGAAAAAAGTTGAAAAGGTATGTCAGGGCCTCTGCCTGTGATGTCTGGACATCCAGAGCAGCTTTCTGAACAGCCTGCAGCAAGTTGACTTTGATGTGCTCAGTGATTAGTGTCCAGGCACATGGACTTGAAAAGGGTGGGCTGTGCCGGGAGGTGGCTTCAGACCCCCGCTGGGATTGATGATCATATTGTTGCTTGCAGGTGGTGGTGTCCAACCGCCTGGTCACATCTCCATGCTGCATTGTCACCAGCACATACGGCTGGACGGCAAACATGGAGCGAATCATGAAGGCGCAGGCCCTGAGGGACAACTCGACCATGGGCTACATGGCGGCCAAGAAGCACCTGGAGATCAACCCTGATCACTCCATTATCGAGACCCTGTGGCAGAAGGTGGAGGCCGACAAGAACGACAAGTCCGTGAAGGATGTGGTCATCCTGCTGTACGAGACCGCACTCCTGTCCTCCGGGTTCAGCCTGGAGGACCCCCAGACCCACGCCAACAGGATCTACAGGATGATCAAGCTCGGCCTGGGTGAGTTGGCCTCACCCTGATCGATGAGCCTTGTCCGTTCATGGGACAGGAAGGGCCGACAGGGAGGAAGTGTGCACTGCTGGGCCTTGGGCTTTACACTGGCTTTGCAGAAGTGCTGATGGGAATTGTCTTTCAAAATAGGTATTGATGAAGACGACCCCACTGCTGACGACACGAGTGCCACGGTCACTGAGGAGATGCCCCCACTGGAGGGCGACGACGACACGTCACGCATGGAAGAGGTCGACTGAGCCCAGCTCCGCTCGCTGTCCACGTTCACTACTTCACCCTCATTCCTTCTCTCTGATAATATATTTTCAAGGATTCTTTTCTTTATTTTTGTTAACATTTAAAGAAATTGTATGGCATGACAATAACCCCGGGGGCAGATGAGCTTCCTTCTGCTTGTGACCCTGCGTACTGTAGGTGCTCGGGCAGAGCCAGTTGTCCCCTTGTTTTACGTTGGCTAATTTACCAGATGGAGGTCATTTCTGTTGTAAGGTGTATGTAACCCAACCCTAACTCTGGTCTGAAGTTAGCTATTCAACGGATTCCTTAGTAAATAATTTTTGGTCACTGAAATGTTGAGCTATACTTTGATGTTGAGAAGAAACTCTCTGATAAGACCGCCTGAGTTTGATCTTCTAGGACCCAGATAAGCCCCCACCCTCTGTAGTGCCCAACTTTGCATGTACCAGGCGTCTAGAAACCAGTGTGGCACACCGACGCAGCTCTGTGAGACTCCACATCCAGGGCTTGTTTTCCAAAGAGGTTTAGAGTAGCAAAACTAGGCACCTTCTAGGCGGCTGCTGTCAAGGCAGGTTCTGAGATGTAACCAAGCTTACAGTGCCAGGTCACCTGCTACCACAAAGGTTGTAACAAATACAGTTCAGTTACAAAGGAAAGCTGTGTGTGGGTGGTTTTGTATCTCGGGGGGGGGGGATGGTGATGCACCTGTACTGGGGAGCACCCAGGTGATTGAAATTGATGAGTGATGTCATTGGGGGGTGTTGGCATCCAGGGGGAGGAGACGGGATATTTAACATAAGGTCTTGATGGCTGACTGAGAAGAGCACACTGGAGTAGTCAGGGATGTGGGGAAGGCGTGTGTCTGCATGCTTTATTCTGAGGTTTGGGCCAGGGAGGTGGTCCACAGATCTGCCACCTTTCTGGGGAAGCAGGCAAAGCTTCCTTGGGGTGGGACTGTTAGGGTGAAGTGGAAGTCTGGCTGATATAACACCAGGAGCAGATAATCTTTATGCTAAAGATGGTGAGGAGGGCTTACTGGGTGACCCTGGGGGGACGACACTGCCGTCTTGATCCAGACCCCATGTTTCATTGGTTTACTGGGAAAGGTTTTTCACTGCACAAGGTCAGTCCCTTGACACCGGGAAGGGACTGGTAACTAAGGAGTAATCACCTTTAATCCTTCAATCCTCTGAGGCAGAATCATACTCCTGCACAATAAGCAAGAATTAGTCCACTGGGCTGTCAGCACTTTGGTTCTTACGGAACGTTTCCTCAGGGCCAGAGGTTTTGGTGGTTGGGTTTTCTGTGTCTGCTGAAATTGTAGGGACCTCTACTGGGTCAAGTTCAAATCCACCAGCTTTAGGGGAGCAGAAAAGGCTGCTGTGAAGGTCAAGCAAACAAGACTGAAGTGCAAGGGTGCAGGGTGGGTGTGATGAATGCACTTCCTACTCAGACCAGGCTGGACCCATTTTCTGCATTGAGTCCCAGGCAGGTTCTGGGAGGCAGTCCTGTCACCTCCCATAGGAACTAGGAATTTTCCTTGTGATCAAAGGCAATCAATACCCAGAAGGCCCTCTATTCCCTCAAATGCCTTGGGGTTTTTGAGGAATCAGCCTCTGTCTGTTGTGTACCCTTGGAACGAACCCACAGCTGACTGTCCAGCAGGTCTTCAGAGGCTGTAAATTGCACAGGAGGAGATTGCCCATCCTCCATGCAGCATCTGGTGAATGTGAACCTGTGACCTTGGGGCTGCACCGCAGCTTCCGGCCACCAGAGCCCCGTGGTATCAGGGAAGGCCGAAGAGGACAGGCTCCGGACACCACAAACTTCAGAGGACAGTCATGGGGTATGTGACAAAGACTCGACCCTTTGAAAGACTATATTGCTAATCTGATTTTTAAAAATATTTTAGTAACAGGATTGTTTTTTTTAAATTACTTGGGCATACAAAATAGGGATAGATTTTGCAGGACCTACACACTCTCCAAAGTACTGAAGATCATTGATGTCTTTGAAATCAGTTGTTATGCATCAGAGAGTTGGACAGTGATTAGGGATGGTAGAAGAATTGATGCCTTTGAGCTGTGGTGCTGGAGAAGAGTATTGAACAGACCATGGTCGGCTAAGAATACTGGTTCATCCTGGGTAGGGTTAAACCGGGATGCTCCTTGGAGTCAAGGATTCTGGGGCTTTGTCTAACATACTTTGGACATGTTGCAAGGAGGGACAAGTCCTTGGAGAAGGGACATCATGCTTGGGAGGGTGGAAGGACAGCGCAGGAGGGGAAGGCCCTCTATGAGGGATTGATTCAGTGACGTGTGGGTATATCAAGAGATAGATTGGCACAGGACAGCAGGGTTTAGGGCTTTTGTACATAGGGCTTGCTATGAGTCACAGGTGATTCGACGGCACATAACACCACCACCATGGCATAGCAGAATAAACTACCTTTTCTTGACATGAGTAACTAGAATGGTTACTGGTTTTTCCCCTGCAACAAATCTGAATGCTGCCCTGTCCTGAACCACCCCGAGCATCTCTGATACACTTGAGCCCATTGATACAGTTACTGTGTCACTCCATCTGGTTGAGGGTCTTCCTCTCTTTTACTGACAGAAGGGGGAGGTTAAAGATGGAGAACTGATCATGCATTATTTTCTTTCAGACGTTTCATTAAATTCCCAGCAAATAAAAATAAGACAAACAGGAGAGGAGATCACCACTGAGGAGAGGCACCCACATACACGACAGATTAAGGTGTGTTTGACTCAGGTAACGGTATTTTCACCTGCCTCGTATGCATCTGAGAGTTGGACTGTGAGGAAGACAGAAGAGTTGATGACTTTGAATTGTGCATGAAGTCCACGGGATACTGAATGTCCCACGGACTGCCCAAACGAGTCTGTCCTGGAGGGTGTTCTTACTGGCACTGCGAGGAGCTGCTCAGTGCCGTGGTGGGGACAGATGCGTGGCTGTCCTTCCATCTTTGTGCCTTCGAGTAGCTCGTTGGTTCACACTGCCTGCCTTCGTGTTGATGGCACACTAGAGCCCCAGCCTCAGAAAGATGGTGCAACTCCACCTCATGCGTGTCCTTGGATGTCAGGCTGGGAGGGACGATGAGTGTCAGTGCAAGGAGGCGGCTTGGCACCACAGTGGCCGAGTGTACCGGAGATTATGAGGATGGGGCAGGGTTCCCACCTGCTCTTGGAGTTACTGTGAGTCCACACCGCCTTGCCAGCACCTTACAGCTGAGGATGTTGAGAGAAATACTGGAAACCCCAGTACTGGCAGATGTGACCCTCAGTGTTTCCAGACTCAGAGTTTGGGGGAATGGCAGGAAGAAGGTGTTACCGGCTGACCCGGTTTCAGTACAGAGGGAAGTAGGGCCAGGAGACTTGCCCAGATGGAGGCTATGAGAGACCTGTGACTGGTCTTAGGAAGGGATGCTGCAGGCCGATCGCCCTGTGGAGGTAACTTCACACCTGAGCCCCGGCCTCACCTGGTAACCGGTGGCAGGTTACCCAGGGCTGACACAGCCTCTTGAGATTTGAGAACACACGGGTTTGTTTGCTTGGTTCGCCTATGCTTTCCAGCCAGGTACCTGTCACAGACCTTTACCTGTGCCTGTGGCCAACATGGGGGATTTGTTGAGCAAAGAAATGAACCGAAGCCCTTCCGTTTACAACCACTTACACTTTCAGCACACTTTCGCTTCTTTGTACTCCTGTAACACCACAAGGGAGTGCTTTAAGGAGCAGAAGTTTATTATCTCACTGCTCAGGAGGCTACAGTCTGGGCACCTCCTCTCGGAGCCTCTGTCCCTCTCACTTCATAGGATGATCCTTGTCTCAGCTTCTACAGTCCCTGGTTGTCAGCTTCCGTGGCCCCTGTTGGGTTCCTCTCCCCCGGCCTGTGCTTGTTTGTCTCTGCAGCTCCTCCTAAGTCCACATTGATAAGGTTTAGGGCCCACCCTGCAGATGTAGGACCTCACCAGAGAAAACCTACAGACAGAACCACAACCAACAACCAGAGGTACAGGAATTCGAATGTCAATGCATATGTTGGGTGGAAACAATTCAGTTCAGAACAGCATCTATAGGCTTTCTTTTTAAATGTCCTAGTTTGGAGATTTTAAAATATATTCAAAAGAAGAGGAAAATAGATGAAAACAAGTGTTGGCAAGAAGGTGGGCAAGCTGGATTCCTCCTGCACCGTTGGGACTATCAGCTGGTGCAGCTGCCGTAGAAAACGGCCTGACAGTTCCCCTAAGCAGAGTCGATGCATGCATGGCCCAGCAATCTTGAAAAAGAAATCCAAGAAAAAAGTATGAGCACAAAAATATCATAGCTGTGTGGTTTAGCTTATAAATAAACTCCCCAGAAGTGGCCACACTTGACTACACTGGCTAAGTCTTATAGACCCGCTTCTTTAACTAGACTTGTTTTTTCATTTGATTTGTTTTTCTAGTTTCTTCCCAGAATGAGGGCAGGCCGACCTTTCTCCCTTCTCAAGCTGGTGGTGGGGGTTTTCCCCTAAACTAAGCTGCTCGGGTAATGCCGGTATTTCCCTGTGAGTCTGTAGCTCTTATTTTTACTCCATAAAGGGGTTGTTTGTATAGAGCTAGAACACGCCTAGCTGCTTCCACCATCCTCTGGGAATTCTCCAGGCCGCCACCCTGGAGTTTGCACAGCGCTGAATCCCCCTCCTGGTCAGGATGTTGTTTCCTGTCCCAATAAACTCATGTCTTTTCGTTTATCTCTGGGTCAGTTTTTGGTCTCTGTGTGCACAAACCTTCAAGGAACCTTGAGGGACTTTCCCTCCGGGGAGCTAGCCCCAACATTAGCCAAGAAATGAAAACAGCTCAAAAGTTCTCCAACTAATGATGTAGTTAAAAGAAAATGAATATTATTCAGCAATAAATAGGAATGAAGTGTGGATGCAGGCTACAACAGAGAGGAACCTTAAAGACAAGCTGAATGAGAGAAGCTGAACCCAAAAGGCC